TTTCCCTTCACACCCCCTGGTGAACTGTTTTCATGATCTTCTGTGGACAGGTGGATCCAATGTAGAGGCTCACTGCTCAAAGTAATGTAAAGTAATTAAAAGTGATGCAGTAAATTACTTAATTTCTCACCAAAGGAAGGATTTGTTACAATATTCGTTACATTACTTTCATGTTACTCTGTATAATGATCTAAATGCATTGTCACCAGTGTTGGGCAAGTTACTTTGAAAAAGTAATTAATTATAGTTACTAGTTACTTCTTCAAAAAAGTTAGTAACTAAGTTACAAGATTCTAAAAGTAATTAACTACTTGAAAAGTAACTATTGCGTTACTTTAAAAAAATGTTTAACCCTCTGGGGTCCAGGGTAGAATTGGCCATTTTAACTACTTTTGATGTTTCCTCCATATTTCACCTTTAAAAACTATTTACTTTTCCTTGTTTGGTATCATCCTTTTCAGCACAACCTCACGTGTCTGAATTTATAGTTACGTTTTCATTTTGACATACTGTGTTAACACAATTGAGCTAAAATCAAACAAAAAACATCAAATCAGAGTAGAAAAAGTGATATTTTTTACTGTAACAACCACAAACATGTTTAATGAATCATATTTCATAACTTTAAATGCAAAAATAAATTGTCAATCTTAAAATCCTATCCTAAAGTTTTGCAAACAACAAAGTTATTTGCAGCCATTTACATTTTACCCTTTTTTTAATAACCATTTCAAACTATTTACAGAACAATCAGCTGCTCTGCATTCAATAAGATGCAACACAAATTATTTTAGCCACTCAAAAAATAATAATTCTTTCCACTATAAAGGAGAACATCACAGCCTGATACCTGCAGGTCTGACAGCAGCAGGTGTATCACTCCTCCTGTTTTCATTCAGCAGTCACCTCATTGTTCTGACACACAACACAAAACTATCCACAACACTACACACTAACTACACAAGACAACACATGAACTAGACGCTCCAAACATGCTAAACGTCACAAATTTCTCACATCTCAAAACTCGCTCTCTCTCTTTTTCTGCTGTCGCTCTCTCTCTGTCTCTCTCTCTCTCTGTCTCTCTCTCTCTCTCTCTCGCCGTCACTCCTAAAACTTCCCCCTCTTCCTAAACGACCACATGTCATGTTGCCATATCATTTTTTGATCGGTCGACATGGTACATTTTTCCACCAACACGAACAGGCTGTTTTTTGTTTTAATTTTTTTGCTCATAAGCAGAGAGTGCTCGCTGCGCTGTCCTTAGACAGTAAACGTGACGAAACTATTGAGGA